AAGAGGAGAATTTAAATAATGTAGATGTCGAACCCAAAGAAAAGGAAAATATCAAGGAGATCCAGGGAGTTACAGGAAATCATAATTCAGTGTCAGTGATCCCTACAAAGGATGATGCGAATGATATTGATCCAGGAGGAACTGGGAAAGTTACTACACTGAATGAGGATGTTAATATCAACAAATGGGAGAGTGCAAAGTCTGGGAACAAACACATGTCCACTGCTCAACTATCTGTTAGGACTGGAAACACCGTTCCATTGGAAATCAGTAAGTTGAAGCAACAGAAGAAAACTGAGGAGCATGCTATGATACCTAAGCCTCACAAGTCCAATGTAATAGCTGCAATAGGTGATAAGGATATTGAAGATCCTATTGAATGATCAGGCAAAGATCTAGATGAAAAATCACTGCCCGGAATTTTCTTAAGGTGGCTAGACAAGGGAATCTTTCTCCAAGGAATATTGACAAGGCCAGGTCAGGTGCTGAAGGAAGGAAGAAACAAATCAAGGACAACTCCAGTGTTCCAACAGCTAGGGTACAAACGAGAAGGACTCTAACTAAATCTAATAATTTGTAATGGATGTAATTATTTGGAATGATAGGTCAGCGAATACGAAAAAAAACTTTTGAAAGGCTTATCACAATGCACCTACAACATCACGTTCAATTCATTGGAATTATGGAACCAATGCAATGGGCTAGAAATTTGGAGAGGTATAAAAGGAGGATTGATGAAGTTTTCGAGGTTACTATTCTGTATGATATGGTACAACAACTGACATTGAAGCTATTTCACACGGAAATACATGTTTAACTCATTCTCACATTGGTGTATGCTAAATGTGATGTCGTTGAAAGAATAGAATTGTGGGATTCTTTGTATGCTATGGCTAGAGATATGACTATCCCATGGTTTATTGGTGGGGGTTTTAATATAATATGGGACGAGGAAGAAAGTTTGGAGGACTGCCAGTATCATTGAATGAGGTAGATGATTTTAGGCATTGCATCAATACTTGCAACCTATCTGATCTTGGCTTCAAGGGGAGTATTTTCACTTGATGGAATGGAAGGGCAGAGGATGACTGTATTTTCAAAAGACTGGATCATTGTCTAGCTAATACGGAATTTCAGCAAACTTTCCCAGGATTGGAAGTCACACATCTATCCACGATTGGATCAGACCATAGTCCTATGCTATTGAAGTGTGATATTAAATCTGCCCCAGTGAAGAAATCTTTTAGGTTTCTTAATTTTTGTGTTAAGCATAATACATTTAAGAATGTGGTGAGGGAGAATTGGCATGTTTATTTCAGTGCTAATCCATTTATTCTCTTCAACTACAAGCTAAAGAAGTTGAAAAAGGCATTGTCATCTTGAAGGAAGGCAACTTATGGTGATATCTTTCAGAAGATAGTAAGTTTGGAGGAAGTGGTTATGGTCCATGAAGCTCAGTTTGAAATTAATCCCACACAGTAGAATAGAGAAAGATTGCAGAATGTACAAGTAGAATTGATACGATACTTAGCTTTGGGAGAGGAATTTTGGAAACAAAAATCAGGTATGCAATGGTATAATGATGGATACCTGAATACTAAATTTTTCCATGTTCAAGTTAATGGAATAAGAAAGAGATTGCAACTAAAGAGGATTCAAAACAATGTTGGTAATTGGGTTAAAAGACAATGAAGCAATAGTTGAAGAGGCAGTCAACATTTTTATAGCACAGTTTCATGAAGACAAGGTGCCAGATTCATTTGGTATTATTGATCATGTTCCTACTATGATAGGTACTGAATAGAATGATGATTTGGTGAAGCAGCCTACGAAGGAGGAGGTTAAACAAGCTGTCTTTGGCTTAAATGGTGAGAGTGCAGGTGGTCGAGAAGGGTTTACAGGTACCTTCTTCCACTCAGGATATGATATAATTGGAGATGATATTTTTTGACATGGTAAAGGCTTTCTTTAATGGACATGATTTGCCAAAGTGTGTGACCCATACAAATCTGGTTCTACTGCCCAAGAAGAAAGAAGTGAACACATTTTCTGATATGAGGCCTATAAGCCTTAGTAACTTCATCAACAAGGTGTTTTCTAGGGTGATACATGAGAGATTGGTAGGATTGTTACCTAGTCTTATATCATATGAACAAGCAGGTTTCGTGAAAGGAAGGAGTATTGTTGAAAATGTCCTATTAACTCAAGAAATCATCACAGATATGAGGCTGGCAACTAAAGCTGGTCCTAATGTAGTGATCAAGCTAGATATGACTAAAGCCTACGATGGGCTTTCATGGTTGTTTTTGGCTAAGGTTTTGAGGAAAATGGGATTCTACGAAAGACTCATTAGGCTGGTGTTTAGAATTGTTTTAAATAACTAGTATTATGTGCTCATTAATGGCCAACCATATGGTTTTTTCAAATCATCTAGGGGTGTTAAGCAAGGTAATCCATTGCCACCTACGCTAACGAATTCAATGATGCTGAAAAAAGTAATAACTGGAGAATAGAATGCTCCATGGGCGATTACTGTTTACGTGGAGGAGATCAAGGAGCTGATGGCAACGTGTAATATGACAGTAGCACACACCCTTAGAGAGGGAAATATCCTAGAAGATCACCTTGCGAACTACGCATTAGACATTGGCCCCATAAATGCCATTGATTTGGAGATCTGGATGTTTAAGGAAGAAGATTGGTGAATAATGATAAGATGCAATGTGCATATTTACGAGTAAGAGTTGCAAGAAACTAGAAGGGGAAAAGGAGAGGTTAGCAAAGTGGAAGGAGCTCACATTTTTTACTACCATGTTCGAATCCTTTTGGAGGAGAGCATGGGGGTCCTTCTTTATACTAACCTAGTGTTCTCTTTTGTAGGAGATGTTACTGTCTTCATTCCCTATCATTTGATACAAACTCAATGAGTGGCATTAGCACTAAGTGCTCATTCCCTTGAGGGAGTGTCAATGATAGGCACAAGCATGGAAACAAGCTTGGAATCAACATTGCATAAGGAGGAACTGGAAATGGACAGCCTTATCTTGGACTGCACATACAAGAATGGAATGCCGGAGGTTCATTATATTGTGTTGATCATGGCACAAACTAAATGCCCAGCAGCAGCAGTACAAATGACAAACAAACAGAGGAATTGGTTGTCCATATTTTTGAACTGGATTATTTCACGAGGTACTGACTTTGAGAGCCAAAAGTTGGGTACAAAGGATGCATTGTGGAATCAAAACAACATGCATTACACTAAATCAACTACCCATTATTGGCCTCATGAAGCAAATTCAGTGACTAATAGCTGGAACAAACACGAAATTTGGAGCAAACATTGCTACTCAACATACGTGCAAAAGTCTTTGGTAGTTAGACTTGGTTGAGGATGCGACTGATTTTATGTGGCTCTATGAAAAGGCAGGTACAACTTTGGTTGCTAGACATCAAGAGGAAGGAGCAATGGCATGTGATCGGATTGGGAAATGTAACAACATACATGACACATAAGGAGACACCAAAGAAATGGCAAGGCAGTAGAGTTTTTACATGCACTATATTCGTATTTTTTACAGCAAAGAAAAGATGGACATATTTCCAACAAAAGAAGATTGCATTTGGACCTTCATTGTAGTGACTTAGCAAGGCTAGTTTTTATAACTCCATATTTTGGATTTACTAGATTACATTTTGTAGTATCATTGTTAAGCACCTCGCTCAACATTGATAATAGGGGATATGTATTCGTCAAATTTTATTTCTTTCACATTGNCAATTATTTGACTATGAATAATATTTGGTCAAAATTAAAAAATAATTATGTTTGAAGATAAAGTTGATAAAGACTAGTTTTTAAAAAATAATAGTGACTTAGCAAGGCTAGTTTTTATAACTCCATATTTTGGATTTACTAGATTACATTTTGTAATATCATTGTTGAGCACCTCGCTCAACATTGATAATAGGGGATATGTATTCGTCAAATTTTATTTCTTTCACATTGTAAGACCTCCTGTCACTAGTTTGTTTTGTTTTTTTGAGAGATATATATAAAATCTAGCTCTAGGCACTTGCCTACTGGATTGCTAAAAAAAAAACTTACTGCTCCAGGTTGGTCTCATGGAACAACTTCACAGATTTGTAGTTTTAAATCAAAGGGCCACTTTGTTGACTTTTTGAATACCTCTAAGTTTTACCATTCTTCGTGATATATATCACTAGTAAATTCTAAAAGTTAAACCAAATTTGCTTTTCCAGTTGTTTCTATGCATATAATGGAAGTCTGCCAGATTTAATGTGCGTAGCAGAACTTGTATTTTAGTAAACGCCAAAGTAAACAGAAAATAAAACGAGTAGGCTAATTTGCTGGCTTACGTGGTGGTAGTACATGGGTTACTTGGAGTTGGAGTCGATGTTTTCTATCTGCAATTTGTTTATCAATCATCGTTTCTTTCATTTTTGAAGCAAGCTGTTACCCTATGTTGCCGCCAAGACAGCTGAAAGCTTTAACCTCTCCTTCATTTGTGGAGGAATAATATCCAAAGTGAACAAAAACGTATTAGTTACCAACAAAATCCTATGGAGAAAGTAATGGTTTCTGGGTTCATTGCCTATGCAGACTTATGGACTTGTGTTCTGTATCACCACTCATACAAGTTTAATTTCCAGAATCCTGCTTGTGAGATGTCAATTCAACAGCATTTAAGCCTTGAGGCACAAATGCAACTTCAGTAAACAGGAGTCCGACAAATATAGAGTCATCAAGGACAAAATAGGAGACACTCTCAATTACCCCACATTTCATTTAAAGGTATCCCTCAAACCCCTCGAGGACAATGCTTTGCAGCAAAATTCAAGCAAGTCCAAAACAAACTGAACCAAAGTATTTAATAAATAGGCCAACACTGGGCAATTTCAAAGATGATTTCAGCTTAATCAACTAATTTCTAACAAGCATAGCCATTCATTTGGAAATGTAAATCAATAAAAGTTGGTAGAAGGTGAAAAAAATAATTAAAGCAAAGACACAGCTGAATAGTCGTACAGAAAAAGGTTCCATGAGCAAAATTAGCCACATCTAATCAGATGTTTAATCCCTGGTATTACCCGGAAATTATAAAAACAAATATAAATAACTCCACAAAGCACATTACAGTTTAACTAACTACTTTTAAAGATGAAGATTCTACATCATTTAAAACCTTGATATGAGACACTAATGCCTCCCCCAAAGCAACCAATGACTTCAATCCACATCCATGACATCTAAGCACCCCACTGCAGAAGTAAGAGATCAAGTTTAGCAACTTCAAATAATATCAAGATGTAGGATGTAAGAAAAAGCAAATGCAAATAGTCACAAGATCAAGACTTCAGTCACCAAATAACAGCTAGAGCAACTTCCCCTTCAAATAAAGGGACAAACTCACAACAATTTGACAAAATAGAAAAATCAATGAAGTGGGAGGAGAACCATGTATCAAGTTCGAATCATAATAAGAGAGGGGAAAAACACTAGGTGATTTCTTTGCATCTGCCTAAAACTTGGGGTACGGAGCTGCACAATACCTACACTAGTGGGGGTTGCAGGCACCCACTAGTCAAGATTTGCAAAAGATGGCTCAAGACACCACCATCATTAAGAGAGAAAAAAAAAGAAGAAGCTCAAGTTCATTTGCATATGCAACATACAATGCTATGGAAAACATGTTTCAACACACCACCTACTGGCATTGAGGATTAACAGTTTAAACAAGTTTCTGTACACAGTCAAGCATGGTATATTGAAAATGGTCTTCCACTTAAAGCCACTTTTCCCACAAAACAATTTGGAACTATTTTGGATGGAAAATATGCCAATAAAGAATCCTAGAACTAATTCAGAACAGCAATGATATGTACCATTCCCTGTATCTAGGAGCTTAATTTGTCATAACTAAGGTATGCAATCAACTAAACAAATTTTTAAATACCAACTAATAGCTTCACAAGAAATGAACTTGTGCTTCTAGATAAACCTAAATTACATGCAATTTTCACGAATAAGTAGTAACACCACATAGTAGGGTTGAAGCATAGTTCACTGACTGTTCTATAAGAGATTCTTCAAATCCTTTCTTATCTTGGACACTGAGAGGCTTGTGCTAGACAACCAAAAGACAAAAGGTTGTATCCAAAACATATCTAGGAATTTGCAGATACAAAGACAATCATTGACGCTGGGAATTTCCTAAACAACTCTTTGTTTATAAAGCAATAATGTACTATATCAAGCCCAAGTTGTGTCAAAACATAGAACATAGACGGCACAAAACTCAATGGATCCATGATTTAACAAATTTTTTAAACATAAGGATAAATACATATGACCAAACAGCTAAAGAAGTTACCTTAAATGTTGCTTGGGTACATGAAAACCCTAACCTTAGCTCCCTGCAAGAATTAGGCAACCAAAATTAAACAACAGTTGGAAAAAAACAATTGGTTTCCTCTCCTAATACCATAAACAGCTCAATAACATTAAGGAATAACATATATAATCAAAATGTACCATGGACTTAGGAGGCAAATTGGACTTGAACTTAGCTCTAACAACGCCACTGTTTCCATGGGGCCTACAAACTTTACCCCAAATGCAGCGATAGTGTGAGTTATTCTTCTTTGTCTTTGCCTTGTAAACGTAGGCCATTCGCTTCCCGAGGTACCAGTCCACCTCTTCCTTAGTGTTCACTCCCTCAATCTGAATCAGTGAAGTACTTGGATACTGGTTCGATTTCGACCTACACCAACAACAACAACAAAATTTAACAGTAAAATTTTGATAGATCACAATATCTAAAAATCAGAGACAAGTTTACCTTTTGTATCCAAGAACAGTTCCCCTGACGTATAGCCTGACACGTTCTCCTTGGCGTCCCTTCACCATTTTCGAATCAAGGGGATTGGAGCTGCGGAAATGCCTGTGATATAGAAACCTAAACCCTAGACGACTTGTTTATGCAAAAGAGATGTATTTATATGATTGGATATTGTGACTAGTGGATGGGCTGGATGCCCAATCATGTGTAGTTGGGCTTTAAATTAGATGTGGGCTGGAGACGAGCAAAAATAGTAAAAATAGCACGGGTTAGGCAGTTTTTCGGACCGGTGATTTAAAAATAGCCAGCGTTTGTAAAATTATTGAAAAATAGTCACTATTTGCTGTAACAGGGACCGATCCAGCATAATATACTGGAGATCGGTGCACCTGTGTATGAACTTCCAGCATATTATGTTGTAACTCCAACACGCGGAAAGTTCCAGCATAATATACTGGAGATCGGTGCACCTGTGTATGAACTTCCAGCATATTATGTTGTAACTCCAACACGCGGAAAGTTCCAGCATAATATACTGGAGATCGGTGCACCTGTGTATGAACTTCCAGCATATTATGTTGTAACTCCAACACGCGGAAAGTTCCAGCATAATATACCGGAGATTGGAGCACCGTATATGAAATTCTAGCATATTATACTAGACCGGTATATTATAATGGTACTCCAGTATATTATGCTGGAGTTCCAGTATACTTATGCTGGAACTCTATTATAATATACTGAAGTTTCAGTATACTTATGCTGGAGTATTTTTCGAATTTTGAACAGTATTTTTGTTCAGATTTATCTTTACATGAAAAGTGGCCCAATTTTGATTACTTTTGAAACTGTGGCTATTTTTGAATGGCCACTTGTAAATCTGGCTATTTTCAATTTGGAAATTTTACCTTATATAGCAAAGCTTTACACCCAATTTATTATAAATAAAAATCCTTTTAATATATATTTTCTATAGTTACCTTTTAGTTTTTATAGTAAAATATGTATTTATGGTTACTTCCTACAATTAAGCCATTAAAAACTCTCTAATATTTTTCTCTCACATTCTTTATATAAAATAAAATAAAACTACCGCCTTATTAAACCCTAGAGTATGTTCGTTTCTTATTGATCAAACTAATTTGCTTCATTCTCAGATGGCAACTCTTGCTGATACGTTCCTGGCAGATTTGGACGAATTATCCGATAATATTCTTGATGGGGAAAATTTGGATGTCCACCCACGTTGGTTTGTGATCATTTTTCTATTAAATCTCCAGTGAGAAGAAATCTAAAGCGTGGAAGAGGTGAAAGGAAGTCTAATTCAAGACGACATCGCAAAGTTGGTTCTGGGAGCAAGGGAGGCAGTACTTTTTGATTTTCTTTGCCCCCTTGCGGCCGGTTGACAATTCCAACGGAAGAGTTATTCTTATATTCAGATGTGTTTATATATATTCGATAAGCCATACACTGATTTTTATTTTGTATAGTAATTTTTTACTGTTATATTTGGATGTATTTATATGTATTTGAGTTCATACAACAATATTTTTAAATACATTATTAGTTCTAACAGTATTCATTTGTATTTTCAACCTAACTGTATTCATCTGTATTTAAAACAACAATACAACAAAATACTCTCAATATAAATAGAAAATCAACAAATACAACCACTGAAACGTATTTAGATTGTAGACAGTGATTTTTAGATGTATTTAGATTTTAGAGAAACATATATCATGAATACAACATTATACATGCTGTAGTTTTTAAAATTCTACCATGAATACATTATACAACTAGCCAGAATACATATCCATACAGTTGGATACAACAAATTGGTGAACAGGTTGTAAGTATATACCACGAAAAAAGGATGAACTAAATCTTTGAATATTGCTCTGTTTTTTGGGTGTTATCCATATGAGAAATCTTTTCCTTAATTGGATTAGTAATTTTGCGTGTTATAATTGAGTTTGTTGAGTTATATTAGAAGTCTAACACATTAATTGATTCACTTTCTATTTTTAAACAGTTGGGGATGCCTATTTTTACGTTGTTTTCATGAATACATCTCGCAAATACATATAAATACAGCGGATGATAGCTGACATGCCCTTTTTTGTCTAGTTTTGCTATTGTATTCGTGAATACAGTAACTTGAATACATCGAATACATCCCATAACAATTGAAAAGATAGTTATAGGAAGTAATTAAGCAAATGATAGCTATAACAAGTTAATAGTCACTAAACAATAGTGATTTTTAAAAAAATTCTCAAAATAGAACATGTACATAGTCGAGAGCCACGCCAATTCCCAATCAAACATACCTTCTCCGTAATAACTAGTAGTCGTACACGGTCAATGTTAAAAAATATAAATTAAATTAAATTATGATCGGGTTTGTTTGAACATATTAGATCGTATTATTTTAATAAATATTAATTTCATCATATTTATAAATATGATATATCTAATAATAAAATCTCTATTAAATTAAAGAGTCTTCTATAGTCATTGAATGGCCTTTTTATTCTTTTTAAAAAAAAATTATATTATCCAATATTTAGTATATTACATTGTTAATAGATATTTTTATTAACATATTACTTTGTTTAATATTTTTATTTGCTTGTTTTCGTTTTGTAAATAAGAGAAGATATATATTATAATAATTTTAAAATATTTTTATTTTAAATTTTATTCAATTGTTCTCAATAATGTTATCTGTAATTTAATGAATAAAATCTCTATTAAATTAAAAGGACTTATATAGGCATCGAATAACTCTTTTGTTTTATATTTTTTATTATATTATCCAATATTTAGTATTATTACATTGTTAATAGAAAATTTTATTAGTATATTGCTTTGTTTAATATTTTTGTTTGCTACTTTCTTTTTGTAATATAATAGAAGATATATATTTTGTTACTCTTGAAATTATTTTTTATTGTTCTCAATAATATTATCTAAATTTTAATAAATAAAATCTCAATTAAGTCAAAGAAACTTATATAGTCATCAAATAACTTTTTGGTTTTATATTTTCTTTATTACGTTATCGAATGTTTAGTATTATTACATTGTTACTAAACAAATTATTAGCATATTACTTTATTTAATATTTTTGGCTACTACTTTCTTTTTGTAATATAATAGAAGACATATATTTTATTACTCTTTAAGTATTTTTTTATTTTAAATTTTATTCTATTGTTCTAAATAACATTATCTAAATTTAATGAATAAAATCTATATAAATCAAATGGACTTATATAGGCATCGAATAACTTTTTCTGTACTTTTTATTATATTATCCAATATTCAGCATTATTGCATTATTAATAGAAGTTTTTATTAGTATATTACTTTGTTTAATATTTTTGTTTTCTATTTTCTTTTTGTAATATAGTAGAAGATATATATTTTATTACTCTTGAAATATTTGTTTATTTTAAATTTTATTCTATTATTTGCAATAATTATCTAAATCTTAATGAATAAAATCTCTATTAAATTAAAGGGGCTTATATAGGCATCGAATAACTTTTTGTTATGTATTTTTCTTTATTACATTATCCAATATTTAGTATAATTGTATTGTTAATGAAATATTTTATTAGCATATTACTTTATTTAATAGTTTTATCTACTGCTTTCATTTTGTAATGTAATAGAAGATATATATTTTATTACTCTTCAAATGTTATTTTTATTTCACATTTTATTCTATTGTTCTCAATAATAATGTCTGAATTTTAATAATTAAAAATACTTTTTATTTTGTCACACCTCCTTTTTGCGCGCCCGCCCCAAAGGGTTAAATGCGCGAGGGAGTTTTTCCAATTTAAGTGACAATATTCGAAATGGGATTATTTATTTAATTCAGAGTCGCCACTTGGGAAAGGTTTGGCTTTTGGTGTCCCAAGTCACCGGTTTATCTTGAATCCCAAATCGAGGAAATTTTCGACTTTTCCAAATGAAGTCTGCGAACCAGAAATTCTAAGTAAGGAATTCTGTTGACCCGAGGGAAGGTGTTAGGCACCCTCGAATCCCGTGGTTCTAGCACGGTCGCTTAAATTG